AACACGCTGAATTTCCTTGCCGCCTTATCGACTGACTTCCACCCAGCCTTCATCAAAAGATCTAATTTAGATCAAATTAGAAGAACATGTATTTTTCCAGTCAAACTCAGATGATTGGAAGGGCGGGAAAGAGGAACCAAGGGGCGGAAACTGTTTGTGTGGGAGAGTTCTGAGAACTATGATTAGAGGTATGAGAAATATGATTGAAAGAACAGGGTGTATATTGTGGATTGAATTGTCATCACATTAATCACTGTGGTTATACAGAGAAACCCGTGACCACATGAGAAATAAAACATTTGGGTCTTTGTTTTTGGTGTCTTTGTTTATAATATTTGTTTGATTTTTTTTACAGGAGAAGATAAAAACAATAAAGATCTTAAAAGATATTAAAGCCTAAAGATATTGCTGAACATATGGTAGAAAAAGAATGTTCAAGCAAAAAAATATATATAATAATAATATATATATATTATTATTTTCATTCAAATACATCTGATGATTGATGACAATTAATCAATGAAAATAACAAAATGACATAAAATTATATGAAACTAGATTTTTTTCTAGTAAAAATCTGCCTTTCACTCCGAATGCTTGTATTTTGGATGAAAAAAAATTATGTTTAATTTTAAAAGGCATATAGACCCAGGAAAGTGTAAAATAATATATAATTCAGGAACTGCAAGCTAATTTCATGCTCTTTATGTCTGTAACCTTGACCTGGCAGACATATACTGTAGGTCCCTAGGTGATTTCCTCGGTGTAATTAGCAGTTCGCTCCACTTCTGCTGTCTCTGAAATCATGTCAAGCCATCAATAGAATATATTCTCCACCCGTTTATGATGAACCGACTAGATGATGTCATTTCTATATGTGAGAGCTGTGATCACAGACATCTAAAGCAGCCAAAGAAAAACTCTCACCCTACACAGAGGTGACAGTTTGCACTTTGTGTGCATGTAAAAAGATGGTGACAAACAAGCATCCTCCTCTCTGACTTCTTCATTGTTTGAACACTTATTTTATATCATTATTGACTCTTAAAATTTAAAATGTTTAACCTTTCAGCAGTTCCTCAGAGTCTCGATGCTTTAGTGCTGGAACCCCCAAGTGCATCACCTCAAGAATCAACCATTGAAGAAAAAGAAATGAAAGAAAAATAAATATGTTCAAGGAAGAAAGGATAAGCTTCTTCAGCTGGTTTTGATGAGACGTTAGCAGAAGCAGAAGGTCAGATAAGAAACCTGCACCCATCATAATACACACAGCTTACCTCTGCCTTTCTTAAGAAATCCATGTCAAATGCAGCATTCTGTTTCCTCAAACTACATTGAAACCACATGTTTAGATGTTCCGTCATAGATTACTGATGTTTTAAGGGCATCAGATAAGCAGAAAGATTTACTTTGCAATGGTAGATATTTTTTATGTTTTTGTGAGGGTAAAAGAATGAAATACTTCTGCTAGCCTATAAGATGGAATGCAGAAAAGCTGTGTCTAGAATGGAATACTGCTGCTAATCAGTGCTTGAAGTGGGCCGGTACGCACCAGTACGCAGTACAGGCACTTCAATATTTTAGTCTTTAGCGTACTGGCACTTTTTCGTGCGTACCGGCAGTTCTGACATGTAGCCGGTACTGAGTCAAAGCGTCAGTGTCTGGGTGATTAGAAATGACACTATAAAGCACACTACCCAGGAGGTCATTTGAAACCGGTAAACTTCTGGAAAGTTCAAGATTCCAGTAAGGGAATGCATTAGTAATAAGTAGTAATGCAGAGAAAACAAGGACGATTTCATCAGAGATGGCGGAGAGACTAGTGACTCGTGTCTAGATGGCAGTAAATTATTATTTTCAGCGTGTATTTGGCTTAAAATCACAAGTGTTTTATAATGAATGCCGGCTGAAGGTGTTTTAGATTATACGCTGGTCAGTGGTTTAATTATTCTGAATGGATCCATATAGTAACATGTACACTACAGTCAGGTTAAGGCAGCAGGTTTAGTGGTCTTTTGGCGTCTCCCTGTGGTCCTGTTTGGTATTGCAGCTTAACTGGGGCTTATTTGTATTATAAATTCAGTAGCGAACCGTGACTCTTGAACCTAGGCCCTCTCCCCCTACCCTCTTCGGAGGAAAGAACAAACTACCAGCCTAGCTTACGGTGTCCTTTTCTAAGGCCCAATCCCAATTCTACCCCTTAGCCCTTCCCCTTTTTTTGAAGGGGTAGGGGTGTCTCGATTCTCCTTTGGTTGGAGGGGTAGAGGTAAGGGGAAGGGCCAGATAGCCCTTCAAACGAAGATTTTTTGGGACCACACTTTAAACGAAGGGGTATGAATTATCTCAGCGTAAACCGGCTTCAGCGGCAACATAGCTGACTGAGCGAACAAAAAGACACATAAATGTAAGCATTGTTGGGCATTAATAAAGATTTTAATGAAAAGTAATCATTTTTTTATGTTACTTTCAATCGTGAGTTCATATTTACTGTCATGTTACTCAAAGAAATGTTTGCAAAAAATAGCTAAAGTTTGCTAACTAATGTCATATCATTACAGACTGCACGATAGTGCCACAACATATTTTCATGTTTGATCAGGGCGATAACCACCATAGACATTGAGGAGGCTAGTACCCCCAATAATTAGAAATCGCTAAACCCTTTTCTCAAATATTGCCAATTCGAGAGCGAGAGAGAGAGAGATGTAGGAGCTAGACGACGTATGATGACGTGTGACGTATAGTAGTGGTGTCCCAATTCTTAGGGGAATATTTTCACCCCTACCCCTTGACACTCTGTTTCAAGGGACAAAGGGGAAGGGGAAGGGGAATAAAACATAATTGGGATTGGGCCTAAAAGTCATCTTTGACAATTCCACCTCTGAAACAAGTCAGTCGCGGTCGCACACCGGAGGACAAGTTCAGCACTGCATCACGCCACACCATGTCTTTAATATTCGCACACATTGTTTTCTATGAGTGCATGCACACCGGCGGCGCCACCGGCAGCTGTCCGTGGATCCCAGCTGCGACTCCGGGCGCTGTTCATAATCCTGCCGTGCCACTCACATCAGCTTCCATTAAAATACATTATATTTGTCCCAAATTATTGTGAATGTACATAATGACTTCATTCTAGGCTGGAAGTGTATTGTGCATTTTTTCAGCAAAACGTTTGTCTTTCTGTGGCTCCAATACATTTTGTGATTCATTAGTGAGCTATAGATTGCTGTTTTTTCGATCCCCGAACTTTAAACTCATTGACACCACTTGCTCATTCTTGAAGTTAAGTTTTGACTGTTTGGTGACTAGATTAAATGTTGTGGACTGCCGTCTGTGTTGCACCGGGGCACTGCGCTTCTTGTCCGGTGTGCGACCACAACAAAACAGTACAGCGAGAGTGACTGATATTACCAAAATAAAACACCTAAATTTAAGTCAAATTAGTGACAGACATTTCACACACAAACAAGCAATGTTTATAATAAATATTATTGGCACAGCGGCCTAGTAAATGTCCTCACGTTATTTGTGGCTTAAGTTCTATCGTGACGTGAATAACAGCTAGTTAGTTTATCAGCGTAACGATAGAGATCCCACAGCGGGCGGAACTTGTCATAAAGTTAGTGATAACAAGGCCCGCCCATTTCGAGAAATTATATGATTGGTCAATTTTTCTGTCATTTGAAATTACTCTCCCATTGATTTACTATTGCTTGGCCTTCTGTCATTTCATAGCTGGACCTCAAATCACAGAGCCACAAACGCTAGGCGGAAACATTCTAATTTGGAGAAAATGGGCGGCGTTCATTTAACCATTCACTGAATAGGCAGATTTGGAGAGGCTGTTTTTTTTTCTCAGAGAAATTTTATTTAATTTATTTAGATGATGTTTGTCAAATTATGAATTGCTTACTTAAAATTAGTAATAATTATTTTTTATTTAAGATAAAATATTTTAAAACATTTATTTAAAAATTGTAAATATTGTTTTTACAGTAAGTTAGGCCCTCTCTGACGGTTCCCCACTGATTATATATACATTTGGAATTATGAAAATGTATATATTTATATATTGATGTGTTACGGTGGGAGCACTGCTGCTAATAAAAGTATAAAAGAATGTTTCGGACGCTACATTATTGTCACGTGACCTCATTACCTCACATAGGCTAATTCATATATAAAAGTTATTAAAATAAAATTATTTCACTTTTTTAATTCAGTTTTGTATAAAAACATCCAGTGGGTTGGCAGATGAACAAAATAGATGGGTCAAGATTGAGAAAGCTAAGAAGTTTATGAACTCAAATAAATACATATTTTTATATTATATTTTTGAATATTTTATATATAAACATTTTGTTGTTACTCACTATATAATGTATTACGTACAAAGTATTTAATTTCTTGTTAATTTACTCTTTTTCCACATATGGCCTACTACTACAGCCTTACATATTCATTTCCCAAAAGCTAATGCAATGGTTGAATAATTTATTTGTTCTGTCGAGAAAGGTGAGCGGTCAAATGAGACATTCAGGCATTTTTGGGCAGTGTAGGTTTCTTGAGAGATTTACTGAAAATGATTAAGTAGAGTTTTGGCGGTGTATTCAGCGAATCACGCGCTTCCTGAAGTTGGCGCGAAGTGTGAGGTAATGGCTGCACGAGCCGAGCACAGCACACCTGCTGTATCAGTGTTGCCAAGTTGCTGCCGCGGGTTGTTTGTTATGTCCGTGGGTTGAAGCGACCCCAATAACGTGGTATTTAGCCTCTGGAGTGTGAATTTTACCAGGGTAACTCTGCCAAAAACGCGTATTTTACCCCCGGAACGCGATTGTGCTAATTTTTGCCTAGTTTTGAGTAGCAATTCGGCGGGTTTTGTTGTGAAAACCTGGCAACCATGACCTGTTCCCGCGTCAGGCGCGCGCGCGGTAAAGGTGTGCGCTGAACATGGTATTGAGGCGACAGGGTCCGTAGTTTAACCTTTCAAAAATAAAGAAATAAATGTCATCATCCACCCCCAACTCTCGCTGACTGGCCGTTTTCTGCACCGCAGTCGAGCATTACTACAACGCAAAGACCAACAGCGTTCTTATTTTGCCCTTCACAGGCTTCCGTAGACATTTCCCCCTATTCTCCAGTAGTCTGCGGCTCTGTCATCTGAGGTGAGAAGTACCCGTGGGCAGCTATATCAAAGCCATGGAGCAGATCAATAATATTAAGGTGGTTCCTTGCACCAGCTCTAACTATCTGAGACCGTTTAGGGTGCATTATAACCAGGTGAGTCGCTATAGTTTAATCGCACGTTATCATCTGTCAGTGATGCGGTCACACCTCATCATTTTGCTGTCAGCAGCCCAACCCCCATTCAGTCTAGTAATTTCCTTTATCTACCAACATTGCGTCTAATGTTTCACTATAGGCATAACATACAGTGTGTCGTTCAATATGACAAACGATGTATTTCAAAGGAAATGTTGCTGATTTCGTGTAATGTCTTTTTAGCTTAACTAGCAAGACGCTAATAAGCCATAGACAGGAAAGCAGCCACTTTCCCTCGAGCACATGCTTTACATTACAAGCAGCACAGTCGGCTTAGGAACGCTTTATTAAAAGCCTGATGCACACAATATTGTACAGTAGGTACTGAGGAAACGCGATCTTGGACTGAACACGATGGAAACATGCTAAAACACAAGCTATGGTATTAAATCTATCTATCTGTCTGTCAAAACATATACATTATATATTATGTATATATATATATATATATATATATGTGTGTGTGTGTGTGTGTGAATATAATTTTTAATCAATTTTAAAATAAATTTTTCATATTTATATATACAGCAATGCACTACTTTGTATTTTGATAGGCATGGGTAAAGGCAATTATTAGGGACAACTCTCAGTAGAGGCCTTTTTGCTTTTATAAATATTACATTTAAATATAAGGATGAATTATTAAAACATTCATTCAAAAAAAATCATTCATAAAACAGCAAATTCATTAAGTAGCATCCTTCAACTCACTAGAATATATTTCTTGGCATAGCAGAATGTTGTTAGCAAAACAGTCCTCTGTGGTAGCTGTGCAGTCGGGTGGTGAACAGGTGTTTTTTTTATCATAGCTGTTACTCTTTCATTGTTGATTTTAGCATAGCTAGAATGCTACGGTATCGGCCAATCAGGCTGCAGTGATCCTTTTAATGTATATTATTTAGTGAGTTTATCAGAGTTTTTTTTTTACATTAGCTAGTAGCTATACATTAAACAACACTCACCGTAGGGAAAACAATACTGAAACACAATGGGATGTCACTACGAGGTCATTTTTTGTGTATATGTTTGAAATATAATTTTAAAATAATCTTTTAGGCGCTCTCAGTGTCTGAAACTGTGTTTATTTTTGTGACCCTGATCCTGGTTTTATCTTCTAACCTGTTTTGGGGTTGCGTTCCTTTTCTTAATTCTATGAACAGAGTGATAGCAAAAAGCCCATGTCAACACATCTGTAGACCTTGCAATTATATTCAAATAGCCTACGGGTATGGTTTAATCTTTTAACCTGTTGGTACTGACTGTTTTTTGGCATGCATCCCCATCCTTTTCTGTGAAACTGTGGTAGCAAATATGTCAACACATCCATAGTGTTTTCCTAAGTTGACGTCATTTTTCCTTCTGTTGTACTGGCATGCATTAAAACTTTTTTTTTTTTTTTGCAGGGCACCTGTGGGTGTTTCCTCTTTGATTGTTCTCCTCAAGCTGTGTGTATTTTTCGGAGTATAGTAATACTTCTTCCTGTTATAGTTTGACAAACGGACCCTGGGTCCACCGCATACATGAGGTGTCTTAGTCATCCACATCCTCTGCTCTGTGCGGGCATGGATGGAATGTACTGTGCTTTCTGTCCAGATTCTCTTGCTATTAGATTAAGTCTCTTAATATAAAAGTAAAGTAAAGTAAATAACAGCCAATTAATTCTCATGCCCTGCTCGGAGGCTTATTCGATGCTGTTTCAACAATTTGAAATTTCAACATTTCTAGGTTGGCATGGTACTGGCATATTTACGTTGTCTAAATCTGGTCTCAGTCTAGATTTGGACTCGACCCTTTTCCAGTCTTGGTTTTAAAAATAAAGGTTCCAGAATGAGGGCCATAAATGAATCATTCGGGGTTCTCCAAAGAACCTTTCAGAGAACAATTCTAAAGAACCATTTTTTCTTATTGTAATAATCTAAAGAACACTTTTCCCACTATAAACAGGGCTTAAAGTTCTCCGGCACTGTGCCAGATCTCCGGCGTGCAGCATTTGTCTACGGAAAAAATAGTCCTACATTTAAAAAAAAAAAAAAATCTTGTTGATTGATTTCACTTTCGAGTCCATGAGTTTGCCTACCAATGGTATGAGAGGAGCACAGCTTTCACTCTCAACCAGACTAACATTACTAGCCAATCAGAATGTTTTGCTCTTATGAACACGAGACGTGCATAATAGTTTCCAATTGCGGAGTCGCAGCCCTGATGAATGGAGAAGTGCGACAAAAAGCTGCGAGGGACAATGGTCAAAGATGTCCATCTAGCGCATATTTACATTGAATAACTAATTAAAAAGCAGCTGAGCTTTGTAAACAGCTCAGAGTAATCATGTCATCTCCATAAAACGATATGATTGCCTGAACAAATTTAGCGGGATTTTTGAAAAGGTCCTATTCACACATGATCTATTAATGGTAACTTACCGGTAATTTACCAGTACTGTATGTGTGAAAGGGGCTAAACTCTTCCTCTGCATATGCCGTGACTTTGAATTGCTTAACGTTCATCTGATGTATGTAATTTCAAAATAAAAGTTTCTGCATGTGGCCAAATATTAAAACTAAATGGATTTAAACATCGTTTAATCACGCTGTAAAGTGAAACGTCACCAGGCCATTGGCGCACTCTGCAGGTATTTATTTTAATACATAATGTACTTAAAGGATGGGTAAGCGATTTCTGGTAGCCAATGTTGACATTTGAAATCACCAAAACAAACACGCCCCTACCCCAAAAGGGTCTCACCCCTATTTTGATAGCTCCGCCCCACACATACGTACGCAGCCCAGGCAACGATTAGTTCTGTGAAACAAAGCAAAACCAATGTTACACCATGTCTACACCGGACACGAGTGGCGCGGCGTGACAAAATACTATGGAACTCATTCTAATCAGTGATGGTGTCTACACCATAGATATATATACATATCTATGGTCTACACTGGATGCGGCACAACATGACAAATCCCCGACAGAAAACTGCTGCTGCGTTCTATTTATGACGTATTGACACAAATTTCAAATGATTTTCAATGGCCGCTTTGTCCAGTGTACTAGACAGACTTTAGCTGTTGCGGCGCAGACACGGTGTTACTCACCTATCGAGAAGAAACAAAGCAACCTCGGCGTCCGATCGCAGGCCTTCCGCTCCTTGAGTTCTCTCCAGTGCTAGAAAGCTGATCCGATAATTACACGGGTCCTACTTCTTGCCTTATTGCCTTAACCCTTCTTTTGTTCTGCAGACGTTTTCCTCTTTTGTTTTTTATCCGCCATCTCTGTCTTTCTGTTGCTCGGCTCACTAATGTCCGTCATGTGCACTGAACGCTCTTTCCTCCACATCATGAGTAGACACCCTTTACTGCTGATTGGCTACAAGTTTATTTTGCTAGTTGGCCCAAATCAGTTTTCTAAAGCGTTTTTGAAAAATTGCTTACCCCACTTAAGTTGGTTATGTTCATATTATGTATAGGCATATTACTTTATGTATTTTAACAGTGTTGTTCAATACAATCCTGTAATTTCTTGGTTTTGATATTTTATTTGAGCCAATTATTATTGCCTCATCGTTAGTTTATATATAAATAGTCATACTAAAGCCTGGTTTTCATTTAGGTCTGTTTGTTACAAAAAATATCAGATTGCAGATCAGTAGATTACTTGATTACCAAAATAATCATTAGTTACAGCCCTAGATTAGTTAAAATATTTCTAAATACAACTGCATTGTTTTACTTTTTGTAATTAAAAGACAAATATTTTGTCTTAAAAATAGTATTAAAATATTGTCACATTCTAGTGAACCAAGTATCTGTATTTTGTCTCATCTCGTGAGCCAAGTGTATTGTCACACCCCTAGTGTCGATAAGCGGTTATATAGCTCATCATTTTCCAAGTTTATGATACAGCTTTCATTCTTCAGGTCAACCATATATTCATGAAAAAAAATCGTTTTGAATAAAGAAAGCAATAACTTTGCCATAGTATCCTTTCAAATGTTAAAGTTGCCACAGTCATTGCATGCTTTGCATGTGCTGCCCTGTCCCACCCCCGGAAAAAAGTTAAGGCTCAGGATTTTTTTTGCTTTAACCCCTGTTTAAAGTTACATTACAACAAAGGTGGCAATAAAAAAATCTTTGTTTCAGAGTCTTCAGGTCTCAGCTTGTACTTGGACGCTGAGCTGGTCTTGACTACAACACTGTTTGGCACCCTGGAGTATCCTGTAATGCCGAGTTCACACTGCACGATTTTCAAACTCGTCGGATCGCCGTTGTTTTCACACTGCATGACTATCTGGGGTAGCATTCAGTTGCTGCTGTGTTCACATTGCACGATGGATCGGCGACAGGGGGTTTCACATTGCATGACTTCACAATAGGAAGAATCGCCGACAGATCTGTCTGGTGCAGGGTTGCCAGGTTTTCGCTACAAAACCCGCCCAATTACTACTCAAAACTAGCCTGAAAATACCCCAATTGCTTTCGTTGGGGGGTGAAATACAAACTTTTTTGCCGGTGTCCTCCTGGTACAATTCACATTCCAGGGCCTAAATATCACCTTATTGGGGTGGCTTCAACCTGCTGACATAAAAAACAACCGGTGGCAATCGCAGATTTGGCAACACTGGTCCGCAAACTAAGTTTCATATAACTCCTCCCCGAATTTCCCGCTGCCCTGTATTTTGTTCTCTCATTGGTTGTAGGTCATCGCCGATGTGTTTTTCAGTCAGAACTAATTTCACACAGCGTGATTGTGAATCGCCAACAGCTCCAGATATTCAGCATGCCAAATATTTTGCGGGTGTCGGCGATTCCTTCAGATCGCATCTTTGATAATTCACACTGCGTGATTGTCACTCGCGTGAACGAGCACCGATTTGCCTCCGATTTCGGGCATTTGTCGGCGAGTGAAAAATCGGGCTAAAATCGTTCAGTGTGAACTCGGCATAATGTTGTACATATTTT